GAAACCCGATTCCGGCTTCCCGTTCCACCAGATGGGCATGATAAGCCTTGAAGAAGGCAAAGATTTAGATATCCTTTACTACTTTTACCGGAGCATCGCAACGGCTGATCCTCATCCCAACGTGAAGCAGAATCTCGAGTCCAAGTTCAAGAGCTACTTTCAGCCCGATAAGAACCCGCCTAAGAAGCAAGCACGTGGACCAAGCGATGCATTCGTCACCTGGTTTACCAAACTTCATGCTTCCTACTATAGAGATGAGACCATGGCAGGCAGCGGGGAACTTGAAAGGGAAGTCCTCCATCGGCTTGATATGGCTTCCAAGAACCCTGACTATTTCGAGGTTCTGTTCAGGATGTCCCTGATCAACATGTCGAGCTACTTCATCGCCACTCAGAAATATACCGGTAGGTCCGCTAGCCATAAAATGCTTAGTGTTATTTCTAATATATAACAGAGGCTCAAACACAGGCAGCTTCACGTTTTTGTCATCATACTTTGCGCATCAACGCTCAATTCATTTTTGCGTTTTGCTCGGCGCTGACCTCTGAGCTCACCAATATTGTCTGCCGCGAGAACCCTGCTTCCGAGGACCCGGCAACAGCCAAATCATCCCCTGTGATCGAGGCGCTTCTGCCTCTGCTTCGTATTTACGGTATGTGGCTGGCTGCACGTCGCCAAGAAATATTTGCGGCTGGAAAAGCTCTCGGCACCGTACTGCCAGATATGATGAAGGCTATTTCAAAGGTCCTCTCATTACTGTGCAACGAGACATATACCCAGGAAAATCTAGCCTCGTGCCCATACCTTCTCGCGGAGGATGTCCAGACCCAAGGCCTGCTTCCCCTTGCCCCGGACCAGGTTCCGCAAGCTTGCCGATCTTACTTTTCTGAGAGTGGTGGCTTGAAGCCAAGACTGCTATCCCCAGAGAGACGACTCAGCACTTTCCAGGAGACACTGGCAAGAATATTAGACATACTGCGATGTGCTTACTTCCTCGCCGAGGACGACTTGTGCCCTCTCGCCGCCCATGTCTCTGAGAAAGGCCTTGCTTTTGAGTACAAGGAAAAGCCCACCGCGAACGAAGATACTTCCCAGCCGATATCTATTGTGAGTTCTCCTGCACGGGATACACAGAGCAACATCAGGACCGCCAGTCGACATCGCACCATTTCGGACACCACGCAAACAGGGAATCGACTTGCGTCAAAGGTGGACGCGAGGAGGGCTTTTGTTGCATCTATCGAGACACAGCCTCCCCATGAGCAGTCCGTACCTGACGATGCTGATAACACTGTTATCAACATGCTTGCTCCTTTCCTAAGGCCTCCTACCCCTGAACAGGCACAATCTGGTCTCCGCTCCACTGATGAGACCTCATATGGAATGCATAGCACAACTGCGAACGAGGTCTTTGGAATGCTTCAGGCTGACGCCAGCCCTACCACAGGCTCCATGCCCTCTGGCACGTTTGAACCTCTTCCCTGGGACTGGGTGTACACCCCGACACCCCATAAGGGTAACGATACCTCGGTCTCATATAAGGATGCTTTCGAAGCCCCCATTAGTCCCAAACTTTCTATAAGGAAAACCTCACGAACTGTCAGCACATTTGACGACCCTTTCACCGTCTCCACGCCTCAACTACCAACCATGCCGACTCCCCGAGCTGGCAGTGGCATGATGGCCAGCCCTCGTGTTAGCTCAGCTGCCGAAGAGGCCCATCGCAGCAACTTGCTTCAAACTTTCGGTAGCTCCGCCCCTCGTACTTCAGTGTCCAGCCAATGGGGCAACGAGCACAACCGCACGTCCATCGAGGCAGCACCTCAATCCTATGGTCACCATGGCTACGCTACGTCTTCCTCTTTGTCTGCGTTCTCACACCCAAGCAGTTTGTATCAAGGCACACCTGCTAATGGGGCTACTTTCGGCATGCCAACTGGAGTTGGCTATATGGACACGGGCCGCTACGATCGCAATCACATTCAGGATCCTGCACCATCCTCGTCGGGCCGACGTTTTCAGATGGATGAAACGACATCCAGCTATGATGCTGCCATTTTGCAGGCTGCCTTTTATGGCAATAAGTAAAAGCATAGTTTATTCTTGTGTCTTTCAGTACACGGCCGTGGAAGTCGGGGTATTCCAATCTGCCCAGTTTTTCGTCGACTCTTGCGCCTTCAAAAACGTCTTGGCCCTGGTCTAGACCACTCGGGGCGGAGCATGATTGATTGCATAGCCGATGATTCGCTATAAAGCACCTGCACATGTCCTAGCATGGAGTACTGGTCTTTTGGAGCCGGCCAGCTTTCAAAGATATTGACCGCATAATGAAACAGTTCAACAGGTGCAGTACGCTGGCCTATCTCAGCTACTCAATGTCTTTGGACCTCGTACGATAGCTGATGATTTTGCTCGCCAACCGGGCCAATCTTAAGTCAGTATTCACCCAGTCTGACGGTATATTCGTCGGTGCAAGATCTTGGGTTTCAAAGCCAGAAGTCATTCATTTTATATTCACTCAGATAATATGCCTGCTAAATACTCGATATCGTGGAGGATACCATGCCGCTCAATGCGTTCGGGAGCCCTCAGTTTGGGGTATATTCTCCCTTTGGATGTAAACGCCGTTGTTGAAACCGTTTCCCTTTACCCCAGCAACGCCGAACCACATTCAATGATCCAAGTAGAATGTGCAATATGAGTTGTTAATAGATTTAAGCAGCCTGGTAGGATTGCTTGGGGAAGGGGTATCTGCACGAGAGTTAGTTGGGGTTTGTTATCATGTTACTGGGATTGGTGCCCTGGCCAAGGAGCTATGTTGTTGATAGGAAAGATAGGTAGAGGAATGAAGCAGTAAATTTTGGGAACACAACTTGTCAAGAATGGTGCATTTGGGTGAACTTACGAAGGTCCAAGCTCCTGGATGCTCAAACGAGCAAGCCACTGGCCCATGTCAATGCTGGTTTCGAGGGGCTTGTTCTGGAGGATACCAGCGAGGAGACCACCGGCAAAGGCATCACCAGCACCGTTGGTGTCGTTAATCTTCTCCTTCTCGATGGCGTGAACGGGGAACTCCTTAATGTCGTTCTCACCCTGGATAGCAACCAGGGTAGGGTCGGTACCCTGAGTGACAATGGCAATTCGCTTTCTCTTGGCGTTCTCCTTGGGAAGGTTGGCGAGGTGCTTGACGACATCCTTGGGCTCCTTGCTAGGGAGGTCGTGGGACTCGGCGTAGGCGGCGGCCTCGGTCTCGTTGCCGATGATGTAGTCCCAGTAAGGGGCGCTGGCGTCGACAACCTCCTTGAAGAATTGAGGGATGAAAGGAGCAGACAGGGACAGAACAAAAGGCTTGTTGTGCTCAGCAGCCTGCTTGGCGAGCTCCATAATGGCAGGAGGACAGACTGACATGGGTTAGCATTATCATAGTGTTTGGGGGGGTTGTAACCAGGCTCGTACCGGTGAAGTGGAAACCACCGACGTAGTAGACCTCAGCGTTCTCAACGAGCTTCCAGATTTCAGGCTTCTTCAAGTGATCGAGGTCGTAGTGGTTAGCAGCGCCAAGATCCGTGCACAAGCTTCGGTTGTGGCCGGTAATGATAGCACCACATCGGCCAGTCTTCTCCTTAGGGTCGACACGGTATTCAACACGGAGACCAGCGGCCTTGACAGCATCGTGAAGGATAGCAGCATACTTGTCATCACCGGCGCCACCGAGGTAGACGACGCTGTTAGGAGGGAGGATGTACTGAGCACCTCGAGCACTGTTTTGTGCAGCGCCTCCAGCAATCAGCTTGGCATCGTAGTTGTTTAGGAGGTCTTCGTAGAGAGGGATATGCTTCTCCTCTGCAAGGATGGCGTCGTTAGGCTTAAGACCGTACTTGTCAAGAAGGGCCTGGTCACCCTTGGCCTGGATGTCTGCATTGAACAAAAAGTGCCTGTCAGCAAATGTTCGATTGCATTGAAGGGGCACTAAGAGCTATTTCTCCTGCAAATGGTGTAATTGGAGAGTAACTCACCGAGGAGAGGGTTCTCGAGACAGAGAAGGGAGTACTCCTTAACGGTAGACATGGCGCTTGACTGTCTTGTTTGGGAAGAGAAACGATGTGATACAGATGAGTATAAAAGTGTAGATGAAGCTTCAGAGGGGAAGAGTTTGAGGTGAATGGAGGGGTCAACCGTCCTGGTCTTAGTGGGGTAAAAACGTGGGGCGTGGTCTTTCGGCAACCGAAAAGGAGCGAAGCTGGAGAAGTTGCGAGTACACGTGCAGCGGCAGAGGGAAGGAATTTCAAGTCGGAGAGTCGAAGCAGATGGTTTCGCCAACATTTCTTATGTTTGTTGCTTGCCTAAGTACCTTAGTTAGTTGCCCGAATCGTAGCTTCGAGGCCGGAAGGTTTAAATGACTAGGCAATTTGTATGTATGATCAAAGCTACAATGTAAGTAGGTTTATGATCGACGGACGGCCAAGGCTCTCTCCTTAATATAGGTAAATAAATGAATTCCACCAGCCATCATACGATCTAGATCTGGTTACCTCATCACAATCCGCACCATGATCCGGTGACCTCGCCAATACCTTGTTTATTACCAAGAGAGCCAGACGCGATAACCAGCAATTAACCACCATTATTCGGAATTCCTCATGTGAAGGCTACAAAGCATACCGATGAGCGATGTAATTGATGACAAGAAGCTGAACATACAGTAGTACATCACTTGCATATTAAAAAAGCGTGGTGTGCATGATTGGACACAATCGCTGAATGGACATTATTTTAACCAAGCATGCTTCTTCTTCATGGAAGCCTTTTTTCGGTATTCGTGGTATCTCACTTCTTCGCTCACATCTTTCACAGAGAAACGGCCTTCAGATTCATTTTGCGCCAAATGCCATAGTACTTGCCCTCGGAGCTACCAGCCATCTGCTCTCGGCAGTACCTTCAATAGATGCAAGCAAGCCAGTAAACACCATCCCAATGAGACCATGAACCCAGTCACCACTTTACTCCTTTGTCTTCTGGGTACCACGGAGGAGACCCGTCCTTCTGGCGGCAATAAGACCGGCCTTTTGACCCTGGGCGGCGTATCGGGAGATGGTAGAAGCCTTACCAATATGTTGATGGTTACCCTGTATCCATTGTCAGCTTTTCTGTTTCCATCACAATAGATTCCGAGAATACGTACACCACCGTGAGGATGGTCGACGGGGTTCATGGCAACACCACGAGTCTTGGGCCAGCTGTTGCGCTTGACGGCGAACTTGTGCTTGGCACGAGAAGCCTCTGCGAGACATGTCAGTAATCCGATGCCTCATTTCATTATCCGCCGAGAAAACATACTGAGGAGAGGCTTGTCGGTTCGGCCACCGCCAGCGACGATACCAATCATTCCTCGAGAGCCGGAGTGGACGACCTTCTTGGCACCGGAGGGAAGCTTGATGCGGGTCTTGCCCTCATCAGGGTTGTGGCCGACAATGGTGATGTAGTTGCCGGAAGTACGGCCGAGAGTGCCACGGTCGCCAATCTTCTCTTCGACGTTGGAGACAACGGTACCCTCGGGCATCTCACCGAGGGGAAGGACGTTACCAACGGTGAGAGCAGCCTTCTTTCCGGCGTAGATGAACTGGCCAGTGTACATGCCCTCGTTGGCGATGAAGGTCTCGGTGACCTGCTTGAATCGGTAGGGATGGCGGAAGACGACCTTTGCGAGAGGGGCACCACGACCTGCACAGACAATCATTGTTAGTTGTCGTTCCTCCATCATTGCATTTGTACACAATTGTGCAATTTCCGTCAAAAAGAATTCTCGGGGAGCTCATCGTTCGGGGAACTTGCCAGCATCGTGGACGATCTCGCGGACTACACCTCGAAGGTAGCCATGGCGCTCGGCATAGTCGAGGTTGCGGAACTTGGCAGGAGCCTTGTTCAGGCGTGTGTTGGCCGCTAATATGCGTCAGTATCTTGATGTTTTTCGATATCGTGGAGAAGGCTCGTTCGGTACTGACTGAAGATGGATCCACGACCCTTACGCTGGTTGCGAATAACTCTACCCATGGCGGCTCTTCTTCACGGTGTGAAAAGGAAAGGGTAGTCTGTGAAGCTGCGGGTTAGTATGGAAGATCGTGGGCGAGGAAGAAAGGAAGGGGAGGGGATATTTACCTGGCGATGGCCGCTTGGTGTGTTGTTGGAAACACTCGCGCTACTAATTTTGTGCGTCGTTCTTTCTCAGTTGACGGTGGACCCAATCACGTGATAGGGCTCGCTCTTTCCAAATTTCAGTTCCAATCTGAATGTGGAGTCTTCCCTGTTTGATACCCCTCGGGGGGCAAGAAAACTCCGACCTGAATATAAGGTATCAAAAATAAACTCAGCAAAACGCTTCCTAAATTTATACTATATTAATACTAAACTTATCCTAAATTACCTAAGTCTTCTTGTCATTTAGGATCAAGGTCTGAGTTTTCTTTCGTCCCCTAGATACCTCAGTACGTACTACCTAGTCGGTAGAACCTAAGGTACGGGCAGGCATACCTCAGCCCCATAAATTATTCAGTGTCTGTCATTGGATGTTAGCGCGACGCGTGCTTAACCAATCGACCTTTCGCCTCTCGACATCGCTCAAACTGAGCTGAGGTCATCACCAGCGATCATCACCACGACAGCGCAATCATGACCTGGTATATGCTTGATTCTCAGCAGTATCTCGTCTGCTCAAAGGTGCTAGATTACGCAACGCCGCTTTCACCATATATGCTTTTTCGTCGGTATCGTCAATGCCGTTCTGAATAGCCTGTTATCAATCTTTCGTTTCCTGCCGTTTGCGTATATCACGCGTGGGCTTTTATGTTGCGTTGCGGGATGCTAAGCGGGGCGATATATTTTGATGTTGAGGTGCTTGAAGTCGACCAAGCGGTTGATCCTTGGTGAGCGACAAGGGGAGGACGGGGCGTTCAAAGTGGAATATCCCTAAGTGGATGCACTCTGTGTTACGTCTTTGGACATCGCGACGACTTCTGCGATATGTTTCTAGCGGGACATGCTCATTCTTGGCCTATTCTGACGGACAGCCCTTCATCTCTGAGACAGACCTTGAGTGTGGCGGGAAACTGGGCTATCTAATGCTGCATGGCGGTGAGAGTAGATGCCGATTCTCGATATTCGGGCTTCTCGCTCACGACTATGCGACTGATCCTTGAAATATGACTCCGGCGACCCATGCCAGAAAAGTTTTTGGCAATGCGGCAACTGGCACTGCTCGAGGAGAAAGAACATCGGGGGTTGATTGGGTGCCCAAGTCCGGCCAGGGTGCTTATTTGAAGATCATACGGCCAAACTTGTTCAAGATGACGAAGAATTGAAGACTCCAGTTCGTCTTGGCCCAACGCGAGAGTCAATCTACTTATGCGGAAACTAAACCGCAGAGAAAAGGGACGAGAGTTGTGTACTGATGGTATACTACCAAACACCATATTTGTTGGCATAATCTCATCATGACATTGGAACGGAGATCTTGGTGCAGTGCCCCAGAAGCTTCGTATGGGGAGAGTGCAAGAGGCGGTCACTGTCACGAGGGTGCAACAGCCTGGGTTGCAAAGAGCTCTCGGCTGGGGGAACAATAAAGGATGTTTTTTACATTGTTCCTATTGCGAGCTTGATTGTTTAGATAGTCAATTGATATTTGTCTAGCCTATCAGGACTCACCAACCTAACCTGCGGCTCTTTGACCAGGCTAGTGTGTGCTTGTTCTGTGTCAGAGCCCAAGTTACGTCGTTCCTCCTTCTCCCCACACTCATCTCCATCTCCATATCAACCTCACATCAACAAACCACACAAAAAATGTCGGCCGAAGACGACTCCTCCGACCTCTCTTCGCTCTCTTCTTTGTCACCTTTGCCTTCTGATATTGAGCTGGACGAACCAGCCCAAGAGCCAGTCGTCAAGCCCAAAAAGGGTATCCAGAAATACTTTTCCAAGGCTACAGACAAACCAGCCAAGGAAGCTTCGCCGCCACCCCGAAAACGCTCACCGTCGCCCCCTCATGAATATGTATTGGCAGATAATCCAGATATCGCAGTATGTGCTCTACTGCTGTGCACCGCTTCCTTCTCACATTTTTCTCTTTTGTCGTTCAGCGCGTGTCGCAGCTGTTGCGACGCGCTGCAGTCGCGCATTGGACTTGAAGAGTACAGGCTAACAGTTACAGTTCATTGTGATGTTCAGAAGCCGATTCAATGACGCATTTCCGAAATCGCTTGCCCATTTTGGCCCACAAGAACTCGAACGTGACATTGTCGAGCCCATTCCTGGCGATCGAGCAGAACATTTCCTTTGCGCGTTGCTGGGGTTACTATTGAATCGCAAGCAAGATGTCAAGTATGGCAGGACCCTATGTCGCAAGAAACAATGCGCTAATTGAGAATTAGGCCTGGCCATTACGGTCGCGCTTTGGAGGATGCTGTCAGTACTCACAAGAACCAATGGGCACCTGCTTGGGAGGACAAGAGCCCTTTGTCTGGCGGCGCGACGTTCGCCTCGATGAACCCTACGCAACGAGTGCGTGTTGGCAACCAACCCCCGAGACTGTCCCTGGTGCTAACACTGATAAAGCTTACACTCCTGCGATATCTAATTCTTTGGACTCTTTCGTCCTCCGACACCGTCAAAGGACTTATCAATCAATCATACAAGCAAAACCGCCACGAAGATGATACGAACCAGCCTAGATCGGTACAGCCTTGGGGATCAGACGGAGACAAGCGCCGCTATTTTCTAATTGAAGGACAAGACGACACTGCTTTCCGCATTTACAGAGAGAGCAACCCTGCTGGGACCAACAGGACATGGTGGAGCGTTGCAGGCACCATCGAAGAGCTCAAGACTCTAGCCGAGAAACTCCAGGTCAAGGATGGCGGACCAAAGGCTACAAAGCTAGCTCAGAAAATGTTCTCTGCGGTTCCCCGATTCGAAGCCGGCGAAGAGGTTAGTTATAGCGCCCTGGCTCTGGCACCAAGATTGGGTTCTGCCACAGCTCTCAAATTGACAACAGTACTGACACGTTATAGAAACGGAAGCGCCGAGATTACCGCCAGGCGCGCAAGGAACAGTTCAAGAGACCGGAGCCTGGGTTTTCTCTTTATGAGGGCCGAACTCGGGGCAAAAAGATGAAGTATACATACTCCGACGATGAAGACATCTTCACTACCGACTCGACAACTCGACGATCTACTCGCAACACTGGAACTCACACACCCGTAGAGACTGGCCCTGTCACTACTGCTAGCGGCCGGCAGATCAAGGCACCAACACGGCTGAACCCCACAACTGGAAGCAGTGCGCCAGGCAGTGTACAGGGCGATACGTCCGAAGTTGATATAGAGCAATCCGTTGGTCCAACGGGACGGCCTCGCCGATCGGCAGCAGTGAACCACGGTACAACCGGCTGGGCCGAGAACAATAAGGGGCCCCGGCACAACGCCTCTGATGATTCTGACGACGAGAGTGAGGCCGATTTCGGGGATGACGAGGAAGATGTTGATGAGCATGTGCCTGATGAATCAGAAGGCGAAGACGACTTTGACGAAGATGAAGCTATGATGGACGATGACCTGGAGGAGAAAAGCCGAAGTCTGGTGGTAAAGCTCTCAGTAACACCACCAAAGTTGCGGAACGTCTTGGGACCCAACTCGCAAGCCGGAAACAAACTACCAACGCCAAGCTCTGATAAGGGAGGCGAGGAGCATCGACTGGGAGAATCGCCTCTTGTTGAGATGCAAGAAGCCCTGGAAGCTATGCCCAGCAAGGAGGCACAGACTGCAGCCCAGCAATCTCCCAATCTAAACACAAACTTTGCTGAACGCAACAACGCAAGCCCAGCAGCACTACATGCGACGTCTCTGGCTTTTAGAGGGAGCCCAGAAAAGACGCATGCGCAACCAGTTCCCCGAGCTCTCGATGTTGGGGCAAATCACGAGTAGGGACTGGTCATTTGACACTGTACGTTTTTGTTGGAGTTGGGGAGCCAAGGGTTTATATGGCAAAAAGCCAGTGACGCAAAAGGTTATCGACATGGCGGAATGGAAATACGGTACTAGAAGAAGCAAGGTATTGATGGCATCGAACTTGCGTGCCCATAAATAGGGTTCTTTAGAAGATTTAAAGTGAAGTCCAACGGAAAACAGTATCTCGATCCAATGAGGGGATCCAGTGAGGGTTCGAGATGGGCAAGTATATCAGCATAGCGAGGCATATCAGTTATTATACCAATGTCAAGCTATATACGACCATGTTGCTATCCGATTCTTTCATGAAGGCAGATGTCACTGAGAGTGCTGCACTCAGCAACGTTGAAACAGGCGATGTGTGACATAGTTAATGGTCAAGGAACAGACTCTCAGAACCAGAAGTCGGTAGTTATGAAGGGGCTTTATCATCCCACCTACCGACTAAGAAGTCCATGTTCAGGGGTTTCGAAGTGGCAGAAGCCCGTACTGAGTGAAAGGCTTTGACAGGCGCTCCGGGCTTGCTTCTCAGACGTTACACAATGATTTGTCGTCATTTTTAACTAAGTATATCAAACATGACAATGGACATCAGCGCCCCGAGTATCGCGTGTAGTCTTTTCATCTCCCGATCTTGTCAACCTCTCTTAGGATAGGTAGGTATATTCCCTAGCATAACACGTTAGCTTGAATGAAACATGGAGATGTGTTCAATGACATACAATTGTTGACTCCCCACCACCAGCGCCTTACTCGCGCACCTAATGTGTTTCCGTGCAATCGAGCATTTCTGTTCCAGTGTTGCCAGCCACAGAGAAAGAGGTTGTACACTAAGCCTTGGGTTAAGGGCATCATGATCTGGCACCGTGTTAGCACTCAGAAGCCGTGATACTCTTCATATACATGCCTGATCCCTCGTTGTAATCAACGCTACCTTCCACCATGTATCCGCCTTGGAGATACTTCGAAGATAGCTCTGCTCGAAGCGTAGATCTGGCAGAGGAGGTAGGTGGGAATGTCTGGGCGCCGGTCGGAGAACGCTGTAGGGGATGTCCTCTTCATCCTCGTCGTCGTCGTCAATTCCATCATCGTGCTCGTGCTTGACGTGCTCTAGGGTCACAGGCTGTCTTCTGTCGGCTGCTGTGGACGGGTTGGTATCAAGAGCAGGATCTGGATGGCGTTCGATGCTTGCAGCTTGGATAGTGGCGGCAAGCTCTGTAGGAGCTGAATCCATCTTTGATGTACGTAATTCCAAGATGTCCCGAATTGCTGTCGCTGAACGGATAATAGAGACCTTGTCGATGAGTGTGGTGTTTAATCGCTAAAGGTATCCTAAGGTCAGTACATACACAGATAGTGGAGGAAAGGTTAGGTTGGTACCTAGGTACTGTAGGTTAGTAGGTAGTTACTAAGTGATTGGCGTCGCATGGATGGCCGAGCTTCGGAACGTTCCATTGCTGCTGGGTCGGTACAAGTTAGTAGGTACTCTAGGGGAGGAAAGAAAACCTAAAGCCTTAACTCTAAGCAATAAAAATATTTAGGTAGATTTAGCCTAAGTTTAGCGGATCTTTAATAAGTTTATTTTGGCACCCTAGATCAAGGTCTGGTATTTTCTTGCTCCCTGAGGGTACTGTAGCGTGTGGAGGTGGCGGGGAATGACTGAGATCCAATGACATTGACCGAATGAGAAGCTCAAGACGGATTGGATATCAGCCATTGATTACCTACCTTCTTTACCTAAAGTACTCACTAACTTACAGCTCCTGTTGATTGGGCTATAGCTACGGCTACAGCTCCAACCAAGAACGAACCAGTCGGCCTTGGACATACAGCCAGCCTACCTTATTTACCTTAGGTAGGTAGGGTCACATAGAAGCAAGCCAATTCAATTTCTGGAACAATCCCGTCTGCACGGACTTGAACTGATAAATCTGAAGTATCAATGACTCGTTAGGACTATTGGTCCCTCGGTGCAAGCCCGCTTCACAGGCTTATTATACATCTCTCTCAGTGCCCATGTTTATTTTATACAAGCTACCTTATCTACCTGCCTAAGTACTTGGGTAGGTAAGGTACCTAGGTAGTTTGATGATCTGAAGCTTGAACGCCCAAGGCGCATATAAGCGCAGCTCGGAACAGGTCAGGGACTCCCTGAACAGTGCGAGGCTTGGACGAGGCCTGCAAGGCCTGCGACGGATGTTGAACTCTTGACACCTGCCCAACAATTGAGTGGTAGGCAGAATTACTAGAAGGTCTAGTATGAGTGACGGGGAATCATGATGGATGAAACGTTGGTTGTTGGGGTTTATGCAATCACACGAGTTAAATTTGTTTGACAGTAGAAGAAACCCGAACCAATTGAAATTATAAAAGGAAAACGTGCTTCTCAAGGGATGATGCAGTGTGACATGTAGGTAGACTGTCAGCATAGACGTACTAACTATAGTCTATAACTTATGCGGGACATGGTGTAAAACAAGGATAGGTTAGTAGTGAAGGTTGGTTAAACGTGATGATCGGCATCATCAGGCCCATCATACCTAGCCTGTAATCAAATAACCCCTTCTTTACTGCCATTCAACCTGTGACGACATGAAGTCAATCCTGTTCATAACCTTAGCAATAGTGTTTTGCTCTCAAGATGAGCTTCTGCAATGGCGGGATCCGGTGTGACATTCCAGCCGAGCATGTGGTGGATGCTGATATGAATGGAATTGGTGTAAGCCCAATTACCTTGATTCGCATCCGTTCCTTTGCTCACATATTCTATCTAGGTTGTATTGTCCTTTGTCATCACAGCTACGGTCTCGGTCATTGTGGCCGTCATGGCTGTTCTCAAACGCGGCATACCCAAGCAACAGTATATGCGAGTTGATGAGAAGGTCCTCCATTGGATCGGGGTTAGGAAACCTGCGAATGAGTCCCCAGTAATCTTGGCTATCAGTCCCTTCTACTCGAATTGAGTGACCAGATGTTGGCTGTTGGGCTGTGCTATCTCATCGCCATGTATGCACAAGTCTGCAAAGTATCGCTCTATTCCTTTTATATCGGTGCCCAGCTAGGCTATTTATCATCCTCCGTTCACCTATGCACGCTGTTAGTGTTGAAGTCGTACTTCAGGAGACATCCAAAGCAAGCCCTCTTGCGTGGTGGCTTGATGATGTTGTTCCTAGGACTCCTCGTGGCAACCCTGATCCTGGAGTTCATTACACTATCCGAGCCGCGCGACAGGCTATTTCTGTGCGGCCTTCAATATCCAAGATTGCCTCGTCTAGAATCAATGGGTGTCAGGTGCTTCTCAATTGCTGTGATGTTGGTTTTTGTCTACTGGAACGCTTTACGTTCGATCAAACTGGACAACTCTCTGAGATACGAACTCGAGAACAAAACCTCCAAGAACACGATCCTACAATGGATATATTCGGGAGGTCAGAGAGAGGTGGACTTTCGGAAGTACTTAGAATATAAGGAAAAAGATAACCGGCAGCGGATTCGAAAGAAGGCGGCAACACTGGAGCAAAGTCCTGGGTTTTGGAAAACCTTCACCACGGTGACACCGCTTATTGTGGCCGAGATGGCTGCCTCCGTTCTGTTTGAGTTGCTGGTCGCCATCTTCTCCTTTTCAATTGCCCTGTACACACTGGTCATTGGTGTTTTCTATCAAGGTGCCGACGTCAAGCCACTATTGACCGCGAGCTTTGGGCAGATTATGCCTATGCTTCTTCTGATGGTTGTTGCTCTGACAGCAGTCGAGGTTGGCAGTGAGTCTGTCACACAGAACATGGATTTTGAGACATTTACTGAGATATCCCACAGCAATCAAGAACTTTCGAAGGATTGAGATCGAGGTCGAAATTAAAAAACATCCCGCCTTATTGCACAATACTACAAGGGGCGGCTTTGGACCAGAAAGAAACGGCGCGCTCTCGAGCCGCGTACACTCGTTCAACTTGCAGAACAGCATGATGGGCGTCACAGAGGATTTTTCACTGCAAAATCCCTCCCCAACCTATGAGACCTCATTCTTGCCTATTGCTGCTGCATCTCATAGTCAACCAGACCTCTCAGGCACTGCTGGCTTTGGCGCAAGAGTCGACTCGATGACCAGATGGATGACACCGAGGAGGAGGAGGACGATCGAATTAGAACAGGGGATACGGGTAAGTTGCTCCTGTTTTATCTCCCTCTTCATATTAGGGTGCCTCCATTCAAGTGTTGTAGACGAACTAACACGTACCAGTCTATACTTCCTGCTGCCGAGTCAACTTTGGATCTTCTTGATATCGCTCTTAGAAGCGCTAAAGGGATAACCTATGCTGCGATCTGCCTTGTTCTCTTCCTCTTGGCTGGGTATTTTGTTGCATGCTTTTTGTTCTATCAGTATGTGGTGCCAGCTACTACAGGAGTACTAATCCTAGGAGGCATATTTGACCTTCTTGGAGGCGTGCGAGGCGTCCACAGAATGAGAAGTCAAAGGCTTCAGAAGCAAACACACATATGATGCAGGCCATGCACCGTAATATGATGGCTTTTGTTTATTCATATTACCTGAGCTACTATTGAAGCCTGCTGTGACATCATATCCTCGTTAAATGGCCAAGGTTAGGTAGTCATGGAGCACACCGAATTACTCACTGGCGTCCGAGGCATGGTTACGTAGACTGGACTCCATGTCAGCAGTGAATATAAGATACCTAAGTGATATTAGAGACCCGCTCGGGTACCGATGGTTTTAAGCAAAGTACATCAAACTGAAGCGTCCCGACGGCAAACTACAAGTTACGTAGTGAAAGTGTAAAGTGCATTGCCCTAACCTACGCAGGAGGGGGTAGTTTTTAAACATAGGTCGCTAGTAGTTATTAAACAGATATTACAGTGTTTACAGCGCTAATATACTATTAAAGACCTATAAAATGCCTTTATTAAACTAATATAATATTATTTAATTAAACATTAACTATATTATATATAGTATACTATATAAATTTATACTATAAATTA